TCCATCCAAACTCACCTCTACTGATAGGAGGGTTATTATTTAACATATCACCACAGGAAAGGCTGATAATGCCGTCCAAGTCACTCATCATATCAATTCCATCATTCCTACTCCAGTTTCTTCACAAACAGTGAGGAATGTCCTCAAGGAAGCCAATCTTAGGGTCGTAACAAAGAAGAAAAAGCCTCTTCTTTCCATCACTCATAGGAAGAGAAGACTAGCCTTTGCCCTAGCTCATCAAAACTGGACTGTAGAGGACTGGAAGCAGGTCATATGGTCAGATGAGACTAAAATCAATAGAATTGGGTCAGATGGGAAGGTACATGTGTGGAAAAAGAAGGGGGGCCCTCTTACAGACAGAGAGATTAATGGAACTCTCAAGTTTGGAGGAGGTTCTTTAATGGTATGGGGATGTATGGTGTGGAACTTCTGGTGTGAGAATGCTTGCAGAAGTTGAGGGGAGGATGGATGCTGAGCAGTATATGGATATCCTCCATTATCAGCCTTTCCTGTGGTGATATGTTAAATAATAACCCTCCTATCAGTAGAGGTGAGTTTGGATGGACAACCTCCACTGGAGTTTTCCTTGTCTGGGTGACATTCTTTGATGAGGTTAGCTACAGTAGACTTACATAAACCAGTTCTAGAGGCTATTTGACGAGTAGAGAGGCCAGTAGTAGACAGAGAAAGGATATTATCCCTTTGAGCAGAGGAGATGGTTTTCATGGTGATTATGACTATGATATATGGGACACACTTCATTATATACTTAGAGATAGGTTTAATAATGTCATAATGACACCACTTCATAATTTATTTAATAGTGGCATGACTTTATGGTGTCATAACTAATGATTTATATAATTTTAATCTAGGGTCAAAAAACTGTCCACATGAGTCATCATTTTGTAAGGCTTATAGTGCCACCACATTACCATAAATTCCCACGGGCAAGGGCTCAAATTCATGCCCCAAAGGAGTACTACAGAGTACCCCACTGGCATATCCCCAGTCTACCTGTTCATTCATATACAATAATGTAAATAGTGAAAATAGCACAAACATGTGGACAGTTTTTTGAGCCACTGTAACTCTAATATCAATGCCAACCACTTCCCTACCACATGGGGTAAATTTTCGGTCATCTATTTACTAATATCAAGGCTCCCACCAGGCTCGGAAGTCACAACAAGAGACATCGCGGAAGCATATAGAACCATCCCACTACATCCTTCCCAATGGCCATCAGGAATAGTACAAATTTCTGACTTAGAAGTATGTGTAGACACTTGCATGGCTTTCGGAGCCACCCCCTCTGCAGGAGCATATGGACATGTAGCCGATGCAGGGGCGGAGATTATTAGGCACTGTGGGATGGGACCCCTAGATAAATGGGTAGATGATCACCTATTTGTCTGCATACAGAAGGAATTCCTCACCGACTACAACAAACAACGTGCTCGATGGCATAAAGACCTAGCGGCAAGGGGAATGCACCAGTCAGGTAGCTGAATCTGGTTTGGAGGACACATGTTCAATGACGGATCGATTGAAGAGATCAACAAAGACTGTACCTGGCCCCTCAAGGACCTGTCAGAGCAATCACCTAGATCGAACCACAACAAACAGTTCGGATACTGCCTAGTGGACGTAGACAAACTATCAGAGGAACTAGGAATCGTCTGGGAGAAAGGAAAAGACCAACCATTTGCGTCCTCGACCATATGCATTGGATTCATCTGGGACGTAAGAGATCGCACCGTCTCTTTAAGCCCACTTCATGTGCTCCAAGATGTACAAGAGCTGTATGGAAAACTGCTGCATGCCAGTGAGGTAGCCAAACATGGATGCACTTACCTCATGTCCCTAGAAAACATGCTGAAACTGTGCAGCAAACAGCCATTTCTCCCGCACCGCCCAAGCAAGGACACCGGAGAGGACCTCGAGTGGTGGTCGAACCTGCTACAAAACGGTGGAGCATCTTGACTGATTTATCCCCCCACCCCATATTCAAACCCTCAAGTGTTCTCGGACGCTAGCTCCAGCATAGGAATCACGATCGTCATTGGACACTGCTGGAGAGCATGGAGACTTGTACCAGGCTGGCAAACTCATAATGGTCAATGTGACATCGGATGGGCAGAGGCCATCGGCTTTGAGCTCCTCATCCGTACCCTTGCCACTCTCCCTATTCTGGGCAACCTACTCACAGTCTACGGAGACAACATCGGCGTGGTTGAAGGATGGTGGAAAGGGAGGAGCCGCAACGGAGAGGTCAATGCAGTATTCAGACGGATACATGAGTTCATCAAACATGTACCTCGGCATTTCGCAATCCACACTAGCTATGTCACCAGTGAACAGAACCCAGCAGATGGACCTTCAAGAGGTATCTACCCCCCTCATGAACTTCTACTCCCTTCAATCAATATTCCCCCCACCATTCGCCATTTCATTGTCAATGTCACTGAACCCCCCACCACTGTTGAACTCAAACTCTTGCACAACAGGCACTACCCCCCTCCAGCCACTAAAGTCGTTAACAGAGCCCTCCTCCAGCAGCAAGCTGCAGAATGAGCACAGGCACTCCGAGAAGGAGAAGACCTCATCCTTCTCGATACCTTGTGCAATGCCGAGCAATGAAGGGAGATCCAAGTTCAAAACCACACTCCCCAGCAGCACCACCGCAACGATCACCGCAACCCCGCAGCAGTACAAACCCAACCTCACACCCATCCCATCACCACTCCATCCACACTGCTTAGCTCAAGACCAGTTATGCCTCTGGCTACCGCCAGGGGAGAGCGCCCACAAAGTAGTTACCATCAGTAACTCCCATGAAGCGACCATCTCCGACGAACAACTCAACAGAATCCTAGAAGTCATGGGTCTATCATGGGCACCCACCACGAAAGACACCTACAGAACAGGACTGTTAGTATTCCAAGTATACTGCGACTCACACCTAATTCCAGAAGAACAACGCTGCCCGATCTCACCCAATCTGCTTCTGGCATTCCTATCTAGCTGCACCGGCTCATACTCAGGTTCCACCCTAGAAAATTATGCTGCAGGGCTCAGAGCATGGCATTTGCTTCATGGCCAGCCTTGGCTTGTGCAGACCAACGAGCTCAAGGCCATCCTAACCGGCGCAACAGCACTCACTCCCCCATCCTCCAAACGAGCCAAGCACACACCATTTACCCCTGCAATACTCATCAGCATCCGCGAACAACTAGACCTAAACAACCCACGAGATGCGGCCGTTTTTGTGTGCATCATGACGACATTCTATTCTGTAGCGCGCCTAGGCGAATTCACCATTCCAGCTATGAAAGACTTCAACCCAGTAAAACATGTCACCCACAGGAACATCTCAGAAGGACAAGACCGAAACGCCCTTCCAGTCACAATGTTTCATCTGCCAAGCACAAAGTCATCTCCCACCAAAGGAGAAGATGCATATTGGTCGGCTCAAGAGGGTCTCTCAGACCCTAAAGCCGCATTCGAGAACCATCTCTGTGTCAATCCGGCAGAAAGCTCAGTGCACCTGTTCGCATGGAAACACCAGAAAGGTTTACGCCCACTCTCAAAAATAGAACTAACCAAATGACTCGCAACAATCTCGTCAATCGCAGATATACCCAATTTGAAGGGCCACAGCATTCGCATAGGCAGGACTCTAGAATATCTCCTCTGCGGAGTACCGTTTGAAGTAGTAAAAACAATGGGGCGCTGGTTGAGCAAAGCATTCACAATATATCTGTGACAACACACGCTAATTTTAGCACCTTACATCCAAGCAACTCCAGTGCTTGAGCCATTCACCCACTACACAATGCCCCCAGTGTGTTAGAGAATGGTACAAGTGAGCACACCTCCTTCATTCACAGGTTACAAGCTTTGCTGTGCGCATCGCTGCACTCCTAGTACCTCGGGATTCACAGCTCACCTTTTCACCCAGGTTTGGGATAGTGTTTCGGGCCTGGAAAACCCTGTGGGTTTTCACCCAAAACTTTCATATACTTTGCTCATGTACCCTGCCCAATCACTCTTGCTAATAACTACTCGCAATACAGGATGAGCCCGAGTTGAACTCAGACTCCTGAGACGAATCAACACAGTCATCATCATCAGGAGGATCGTCCTCGTCGTCCAAATCACCAGATAATTCATCATCAGACTTGGATAATGAACCCCCTAAGCGAAAGAAGCGATCCTCTAAGAAACGAAGCCACTTGAAGAAGTGTAAGTCTAAGAAAGTCTCAGATAGGAGAAGGGTCACCTTGAAACCAATCCTGCCTGCAGAATACGACAGCGCGGTTGACTCCTGCACATTCCATCAGTTCATCACTGAAGGAACTGCTTATGTGGAAGATGGGAATGTCCCCCGTGAGCGCCAAGTCTTCATCCTATCTCACTTTCTGAGAGGAAAGGCGCATGACTTCTATGCAAGGCAGGTGTCAGACCAACCTGCTGAGTGGAGGTTAAAGGAATTCTTTACCGAGCTATTCAACTACTGCTTCCCACTGGATTATCGCACCCGACAGCATAAGAAGTTATACTGCTGCTTCCAAGGCGACAAGAGAGTATGAGGATCGCTTCTTGGACTAGTACCAAGTGGCACCCCGACTAGGACCCCGAAAACCAGCCACCAACATCGACTTCAACAGCGCCAAGGACACCCTACAGTGGCCTAGATGCCATCAAAACACCCCCAACCCGCCTAACCCCCTCACCATCAAGCAATGCCTGGAGAAAGGAGAAGTGTCAGCGCAGGATCAAGGCCACCCGGATCCCACACCACCTCCCCAACCTACAGCCTCAATACCCGCAGAACCACGAGATCTGCACTTTCTCAAAAAGATATTGATGCAATATCCAGTATTGTGAAGGATCCAGAAAGTGGAAAGCAATACCTTATTTCAAAATTAATTTGCAATGTTGGTCAACCGTTTACGCTGACACACTTAATTTCAGTTCTATTTCAAATCACGCAAATGTCCAGCACCACTCCCTTGCCAGTCACCTCAGCAATCAGAGTGGTTGCTTTTCTCCTGAAGGACCATGTTGCCTGTGACATTGCCGAATCTGCAGCCACACAACTCACAGATGCGCTCACCCCCTGGCTGGTCGACCATGTGGTGGCCGCCATCGCCCCCCAGGTGGCACGCGTACACACCTCATCAAAAACCATGGCATCCACACTGGAACAGGCAGAGCGGGTGCTCAGCATGTTGGAAAGGGAGAAAACCGAGAAGGAAAGCAACATTACAGTGGCAGCAGAGAGAATCGAGGAAGCTGCCAATATCCTCTTCTCATCAGTAGAAGACTGCCAAAATGTAGTAAAGGCACTCTCCCCCTCCCTGGAGGCTACACAGAACCACCTCAATCTCCTCTCCACTCAAATCTCAACTCTACCCTCCAAGACCACCTCATTGCCCCAGCCATCTTACAGCTCTGTAGTGGCCTCTCAACTCCAACCATCAGTAGACAAGGCAGTAGGCAGAGCCGCTATCCGTGCATGTCAGGTTCTTCTAGACCCCATGCTGGGGGAAACCCTGTTTCCCCCCAACATGTCGAACTCCGACATCGCCAAGAAACTGAAAGAAGCACTCATGAAGGCCAGAGACAACTCCACCCCGCCGGGAAGCATCAGGGCAGTAATGGCACTGCGCAATGGGGGTATTGTGATTGAAATGGAGTCCGAAAGCCTAGCAAAATGGATGAACAGCCCATTGGGCAGAACCGCACTGGAAAGCAACATGGAATCAGCTGTATCATTCCACAGCCATACCTACCTGATAGTTGTAGAATACTTACCCATCCATTTACAGATTGAAGCTGTCGGATTCCTATGCCAAGTCGAGTGGGAAAACGGCCTTGGTG